ATAGTTAAAATTTGTATCTGTTATATAATACTAGTCAATGTTTTTGTCATTTGGATGGACCGTGTTTTGTGTTTTTAAATAATTAAATTAAATTAAATACTCCTGGTCTTGATTTTGGAACCCTTGTTCCGGCAGACGCCGTTCTCATTTCTGGGGTTTGGGAGCGGGAACTAGTCACACAGAAACCCCCGTTGGTTTTTTCCAAAAAAAATCCAAATGTTTGGGAAGGTTTCAAAGAAAAGAAGAGGAAGAAAGGGAGTGAGGAAGAGCAGCGAATCGGCTCCTCGGCTCGGAAGCAGCCGCGCGGGGACTAAGCGTTTTTTAAAATGACCGCAACGAGGTAAAAATTTGCCATTAACTAGACAGCTCCGCAGCAGGGTGCCCGAGAAACCGAGGGGGGGCAATGGGGAAGGAGGGAGGTTCAGAAAGCCCTTCCCTCTTCATAGCTGTTGTTGAGGGTACAGGAAAGCACCTCGTCCCATATTTTAAGGCACACCGTGGCTACATCTCCTGATCCGACCCAGGCGAACTGGGAAGTAAATCCCATTGAATTCAATGGGGCCGGCCTCCAGGAAAAGGGGCGCAAGTTTTGCAGCCTTGGCCGGCCTTCAGCTTTCGTCAAGAAGCCGCCTTTCCTTCTACAAAATCAGAGCTCGATCATATGCACCTATATCTACCTAATAAGTGTGCGCGCCTGGTATTAAAATCTCCGCGCAACGTTACACCTTTAAAACAGCCCGGGCGGGAGGATGCTCAAGAGGTACCTCGCAACGCCCTCCTTTCCAGGAAGACCCGCAACCTCCTTGCCGACAAACCCACCCTAATTTTTATTTCCATTTTTTCTCCCGTCGTTTGGGGGGGGGGACCACAAAAACACACAGCATCTGTGCGAACCACCTAGAATTTAAATCCGGAAAGAGGGATGCTTTTTGCGCAATGCGATCCCAGGGAATTTGGATCGGGAAGTTCGCCCATAGCAAGCGGGGCAAAGCAAGAAGAACTCTTTCTTTCAAATATCAGTGTCTTCGCTCCCGACTGTCGGCCTCCCCAAAACCCAACACGAAGAGACCACCGCACGCCCTACCTCTTTTATCCACTGACAAGAACTCTATATAAAGACGCTTCTGCCAAAGGCTACAGGAAAAAATCAATCAACCTGATGCTTAATATATACCTATATATTATTTTTAGTATCATATTTATATAACAATAAAATAAAATAAAAACAAACCACAGACACCCTGTACATCTGGGTGCGAGTTGATTTAGGGGAAGGAAAACGTGCCTTTTCCTTCAATGAGTTTCCAAACCCTCTCCCCCTTCCAATCCTGGCACCAGCCTTTCCCACCTCCCACCATAAAAAAAACCCCTTCCCCCACCGATGACACATTTTAGGTGGGTGACTTGTGTGGCTCAAAAACCCCCCCCCCCAAAAAAAAAAATGCTGGCGATATATTACTTCCCCCCCCCCAATGAACAGGATTACGAAGGTGATCAGCGACACTGCTCAACAAACGCCTTTAAAGCCTACCTCTCTATCTATAGATCTCCTTTTTTAAAAAAAGAAGAATTAGAACAGCGATGGTTTAAGGTCCAGCCTCCGACCTACAAACTCAGTTGCGCCGACGGAGGCTTCGGAGGCTGGTGGTCTAGGGCAGACCCCCTGGACCTTCACCCTCGCGTTCCTCAACTCCACAACCCACCCTCCCCACGGAAATCTGCCCGGATTTCTGGGCTGCGAGTTTTCGGAGATGGATCCGCTCCTTGGCAGCGATGCGGAGCTAGATTTGAATGCCTGCCTATATAGAGGGGCGCCTGGTTTAAACGCGACTCCCTCGGCCGCCCCCCTCCTTGTGTGTCTTATTAGGACGACGGGGAGAAAGTTCTCACTTCCCCTCGCCGGGCGTGCGTTTGCCTTTCGCCTCTGGATTCCCTTAAGCAGGACTCTTCCTCCTTTTCTCTCTCTCTCTCTGTCTGCAAGGCACTTTCTCACAGACGCCATGTTGGCTGAGTAACTAGGACCCAGCCGCTTCAAGGCGTTACTTTCACACGCTTCATCTTCACAGCCCCACCGGGGTCCTTTTCCCCCCCACCTTGCTCTCCCACCCACCCACCAAGCGAACTTGGGTCGGATCCCCACCTCCAGAGCGACGATCTCCTGCTTTTCCCAGTAATTGGAGGCGGAAAGGTTGGGGGGGGGGGAGAGAGAAAAAGAAGAATAAGAAGCCGAAGCGCGATCTAGCGCCAGGCAAGCGAGAGTAAAAGCAATCGGCAGGACGTGTCGCCTTTTAAACTCCGATGTGAGTGTGTCTGCCTGCCTGCGTGTGTGTGAGTGTGTGTGTCTGTTTTTTCAAGCGCCAACTTCTGCTTGGCGATTCTCGCCGCGTGCGCTCTTCAGGCAAGGCTGGGGCCCCCCGAACCCTTTTGTTTTAACTTTCCAGATAAAAATTTTCCCTCGGCCCCCAGGTCTTCTCACTCCTCCTCGCCTCGGAGGAGCCGGGAGGAAAGCTAATTGCTCGGCTGGAGGGCCAAGGGGGTAGAAGGAAAGCGAGCGGTAGGTGTGGGTGTGTGAAAGGGAGGCAGAGCTGGACCCACAGCCGAGAGGAAAGGCTGGCTTGAAAGATGGCTTCAATAATAAGTTTAAAAAAGAACACCCCCCCCTCTCTGCCGCTGCTTTCTTTTCTCTCTCTCTCTGATTTTTTTTTTAAAGGAGACTCACTTCAGTAATTTTGCTTACACCCCCGGCATCGGGGCTGGAAAGAGGAAGGGGAGGATTTTTTTTTAAAACCTTTCTCAGGGTGGGAGAGATCGAGAAGCTCCAAGAGAAAGAGTTACCCCCTATTTAGCAGCTTCTTAGAAAGCTCTAGTCAATTTCACATAGAACTACGTGGGGGGAGTCCGGGCCCACCTCCTTTGTCCAGGTCAATTGCTCCAGGGAGCTCTTTTGTTCTAACTCAGCAGGGAAAGAAAAACTTTCCTTAAATGCCATAAACCCACACCTATCTCTCTCCAGGCCTCTAAACAAGTCCACCTCGAAGTCAGTCCTGACAGAGCTGCACCTATCCATCTATAGGCCTAATGGAAGCTATGGAGGAGGAGAAAGAAGGCCCCTTGGGGGAAGGGAGAAATCGGGTGAATGTGGAACCCTTTTACATTTACAAGATTCCTTCCTACCTCCCCCCTCCCCACCCCTTTGTCACCATCATTTCTTCAGCTCAGCCTTGACTAGCAACAGTGTGGCTGGGAGTCATCACTGTCAAGAGAGACAGGTACAAAGCCGCAACCCAAACAGTCATCAAGGACCCAGAAAGCTAAATGAAAGCAAACGAAGTTGGGGTGGTGGTGGGAGATATTGCAGGTAAACTATGATAGGCAACGAACACATTTGTAACAAACCAGCAAAGAGGCTTCTAACATAAAGAAAGGTCCCTCTCCCATTCCACCTTGGGAGGCAAAGAGAACAACAGAAATATTACCCTAACCTGCTCTTTCCCCTAAATAGTAAGTGACTTTATCTCCCTGTTGTGTGTGTTTTCTCCCAGTTCAAAGAAAAACCTTGGCAAGCACTCAAGTACAGAACAGGATTTAAAAAAAAAAAAAATGAATAGTTGAAATGAAAATGAAAAGATCTGCTTCATAAATGCATCCAACCACAGCAAAGATCAGTCCCATCTATGCATCTGGAGGCAAACAGATGCTAAGGACTTATTCTGATTTAAATATCTGGGGACTGGGTTTAGGAAAAGAGGTTGGGGGAAAGTCTGATGGACGAGGGCTGCAAGCCTCAACATTCACCGAACAACCTAGATTCACATCCTGGATGGTACCACATGGAATGCTGGAAGACCCAGTCTAGCACTAGAAGAATGCATTGCTAGGCATGGTTACTTTGAAGGAAATTCCATGGATCTCAATGGGGCTTACTCCCTAGTCAGTGTAGAGAGGATTGCACCCTAAAGCAGGGTACTTTTGGTGCAGGTGTAGGACGAATCCTGTTGAAATATATACTACCTACTGCTGAGTAATGCTGAGTTTCAATCAGAATGTAGGACACAGACACAAAGTCAGATCCTTGTTTGACACATCCTTTCTCTTCTTGTCCAAAAGAAAAAAGGTCTCCATAAAGGGGGCAGGGGAAGAATATAAGGTATGGAAATCTATGTCTCAGGTGGCAGAGATCCAATCCAAGATTATCCGCGTAGAAGGAAAAAATCACTGAGAACTGACAAAAACACAACTTTGCTCCATCCAGACTGTAGGATAAAAAATACATATATCTGTAAAATCCATAGTGATCCTAATTCTGTGCTATTCCACCCCCTCCCCCTTGCAGCATTACAGTTCTTACGAAGGCAGTTAAGGGTGACAGAAACAACAGGCCATCTCTCTCTCTCTCATCTAACCACTCACTCCCTGCAGCCAATTTATTTGTAATTAACCAGAGGGTAAGAGGAAAGGGGAGTTTGCCATCTCAGGTTGCAATCCTGTGTCCACTGTACGCCCTCTGTGAAATTTACTTCCAAGAAAACAAGCTAAGGGATTGGATAAGGGATGTCCTCAAGCTAGTGATAAAACCTCAAGCTGTAACCCAGCTGCCCACCGTGAAAGCACAGCACTACGGCCAGCTTTGATTCTACAGGCATAAGGAGCTCAACCTTCTAGGCTGCAAGACCTCTTTCTCACCAGTAATCAAAAAACTTTTAAAGACACGGATCATATCATTCCCTCTCCCCCCCCCCTATTTAGGAGATCCATACAAGTTGTCAGATATCAAATAATATTTTAATTTCTGAATACTTTCAATTTTTTTTCCTTGGAATATAACACACAAAGACTGGACCAAACAGTTTTCAGTTATTATAACTTTTACAGTATACAGAAATGTTGCACTTAAAAAAAAAACCTTCAGCTTTTTTTTCTTTAAAACACAAAAACTGTAAACTCTAAGTTACTGAATCAACCACATTATCTATAAGTGCCAACAGTAGTGTTATTTTTTTTGTCATGCTGAATTCAATGGTTTTTTTTCTTTTTTTCTTTAAAAAAAGGGAAAATATCAACAAGTATTATAATACAAAGAGCTTGCAAATATACAAACAGATAGAGGAACTCGGTAACAATTCAGGACGACTAGGCGGAATCCAATTTCATTCAAATTACAAAAAAAGTTCACTTCGTGATGATTCTCTGTGTGTGGTTGTTTGTGTGTGTGTGTGTTTCCATCATAACTGTGTTGTGTCTTAGACACAAGTCTATCTCCCTCCAAGAAATACCCATTCCCTTCCAAAATCCATATCTTGTCTTTAAAATATATATATATAAAAAAAACCTAGTCAAGGGTGGGTGGGCTGTGGGGGGGTAGTCGTGGCTCTCTTTTGGGCAGATCTGTATAATTATAGCTGTAATAGCTTGGAGCTAAATTTTGATGGACTGGTTTTTAAGTGCGCTTCCAACTTTTCTATTATGGGGGATTTTTTTTTCTCCTTTTGCCTTCATTTCATAAACTTCCTAGAACAGTTTTAATTCTTTCAGAACATATATTTTTTTTAAAGGATACACAGTTTTAAAAAAAGAAAAAAAAAAGAAATGAAGCCAAGATTATATCAAAATTATTATAGAACCACAGAATAAACTGGTTTGGAACCAGGAAAGAAATAATTAAAAAAAAAAAACAACAACCCGAAACAAAACCCTCTAGGTACACAGACAATGTATGACAAATTAATAATTTGGAAAAGAGAGAGAGAAGCGAAGAGAAAACGTCTTTCCTTTCGGTTAATTTTCTCCAGGTTGTCTCTAAATGCATTGTCAGGGAGAGATTGTGTTTCAAAGACAACCCACCCCCACCCCCACAACAAAAAGGGGGGGGGGGAAGAAAAAAACTTTTTCTTTTTTTCTTTTTTCTTTTTAAACAATGAGACAGAGAAAGAGATTAAGAGGAGAGAAAGAGAGAGAAGTAACAACTTCTGAACAACAAGGGAATATTCGCAATGCATTTTGTAAAAAGTTCATTTAAGTCTCTCTCTCTTTTTAAAATTCATAGTCCATTCAAATTATTCTCTCTTCTTCTAGTCACGCTGTAACATCCTCGACAAGCTGAAGGACGTTTAAAAAAACCGCCAGACCCCAAAATGTCACTCGCAAATCCATTTTTCCCATTTTCCCCCAAACTCTCTGATTTGTGGGGGGGTGTGTGGTTGTTTGTTTGTTTTTTTGCTCCCCTCTCTCCAACATCTCTTGGTTGGTTGGTTTGTTTTTTTTTCTTCTTCTCCTTATTGAATGGCCATATAAGGCCAGTTAAAACTGCTTCCAGACAGTAACATATCCCTGATCAGGGTTTCTATGGGGGTTTTACCTACCAAACGGACGAAAAACAACTGCTCTATGACTGAGGAAGAGACGGTGCGGAGGGAAGGAAGGCGTAGCAACAGTTTGCCAAACCGCGTGGGTTGGTTCGGGTATTGACTCCTCACGTACTCTTCCAAAGCGCACTGGGACTTCTCTTGTAAACTTTCAACATGTGCTACGTCGGACAGACCACACGCATCTAGGAGAGAGCAGATCGCAGAGAGAGAGAAGGGAAAGAGAGGGAGAAGGGGGACAGGAAAAGGGCAGTCAGTATCATCGTCACAAACCAGTCGTAAGTTCTCCCTTGCAGGATCCGCACACGGTACGCACCCCCTCCCACACTTCTGCCACAGTGAAGGGGAGTTTTTAAGCTGAAATATTAAACAGAGTAACATAAACGAGTCTTCCTGAAATCAACGAGTTTTCCTGCCTAGTCAATTGGGTTAGGATTCAGGCCTTAAGCATCAGGATGATGAGCGTCCATCTATCAGTCTCTTCTCTCCTCCTTTCAATTTTACACACTCACACACGCACCACACACACACACACACACACACACACACACACACACACACACACACACACACACACACACACACAAAACCCCAATTCAAGGCATCTGAAGACCTGTGAGGCCTAAAGACCTCATCCAGCCCCAAATTCAATGGTCCAAAAGCACTGTATGGGAGAGGAAAGGGGGGAAAAATGTCACGCCCCCCCAGGCACAACTTGTGCCCAAAGGAGTGGGCCCCCCTTGAACTGGGGCAGGACTTGCTTCAGATTTGGACCATCCTCTGCTGTTCTGAACTTCAAGGGGAGATAGCTAAGCCTGTGCTGAAACCCAACTGAGTGAGTCCTTGTAGCCAGAGTTTTAGCCTTAAACATCAGAGGTGGGCATCCGCCTCTCTCACCGTCCCTGCATTTTACTCTGCATTGAGACTATTGGGGTGGGGGGATTCTTTTGAGGGATGGAGGGACGGAGAGAGTGAGCAAGAAAAAACACTGTCTTCCCCTAAAAAAAAAATTTAATGGGGGTGTGTAGAATATAGATGTGTAGGGTTTAATCAAAAAGGCCAAGAAAGAAAGAAAGAAAGAAAGAAAGAAAGAAAGAAAGAAAGAAAGAAAGAAAGAAAGAAAGAAAGAAAGAAAGAAAGAAAGAAAGAACCCACACACGTTCAAATACTGGCTCAGAACGGGATAATGGAGTCCAGCACCCAAAAAGCGATTCCACCCTAAAGGAGACACCGCATTTTCGCTCAGTCTTTGAAAGCGATTTAAGTGGTCCTTTAAAACTGATCTTGTCAGTTTAGTCTATTGAAGGGCAGCCAAGCAAAGGCTGATCTCTCTCTTCATTAGAGCTGTTTCTCTCCCCCCCTTCCCTCTCTCCCAATCTCTTTCTTTCCTTCTTCTTTTCTTTCCAATCGTAGATGCACAGTTTTTTAAAAAATGTATCCCCCAAAATTAAGAGGGGGAGGTGCATTTATTTACTATTTTTTTAAAAAATTACATATGGCGCATTTGCATTTTGCATATTTCTCTATATATTTGGTCCTAAGTTTGATAGGTTGAAATACAATGAGGTCCCCTTTTAATCAGAAGCTGCCTTTCCTCAGGTTGTGACCTTAGCTGGCTGGGCAAAGTACTAACACATGCATAGTTTGAAAAGCCATTAGAATCCAGATATAGATTCTATAGAAAGAGACAGAAAATTGTATATGAAGAAGCTTGGTGCATTTTAAATACATGCTGGCCACAGAGGTGTTGGGGTGTCTTAAGTGGCAGAATCCCCACATCATTTCCCCCGTCCAATGTTTTATAACCCCACAAAATCAGATAACAGAAACCTTTATCTAAGCTGGAAAGGCAATTTACATACAGAGATACATTTTGCAAACAATCATAAATTTCACACTTGAGACGACAGCAGTGAAGTGTTTCCCGGAAAAAGGTAATAATATTAATAACACGCTTTGGAAAGATAATAACAATAATGTTGAGGATCGTCTCTTTGAAACGAAGGCTGTGAGGTTGCTACATCGGCCTTCCAAAGCTGGAGATGATTGTTGACAAGGAAGAAACACCTCCTTAAATAAAACACACGCAGTCCAGTCGCAACCCCACCCCCAGTATTGTCATTGATGATCGATCACTTTTGGAGCCCAAGTAATTTAGGTGGGGAGCGAATATTTTGGACAGAGGGAGGGGTGTAATTCTGGAAAGCAATAATATATAAAAGGAAGCTCCGGTCACGACCTAAATTTTGGACAAAGTCCAGAGAAGGGCTTGTATACTCTAGCCCTCCTTTAATCCAACAAGACGTGGATTGTAACTCCTATTTTCCTACATGAACTCCTATTTTCCTACATAAACTACAGTTTGCTCAGTTTATTTTCTGAAAGCAAGGGCTTCAAAACAAACATATATTCCATCTTTTTAATAAAATATATATATTCCAATGAGTAATTATTGCACATTGTCCACCTGCATTCATATCCTCACAACAAGGAAGCTGTTTTGTTACTTAAAAAAATTAACAGTCATGTATACATTTTCAGATATAGGTATTATTAATTTAAATTCAGCTGAGTGTTCATATTACATTTCCAACAAGCGGCAAGAGAAATCCATGACATTTATGTGGTTTCAAGGGTCCAGTTCTTTCAGTTAGTGATCTGACCCAGTAAAAGATAATTTTTTAAAAAAACGCACACAAAAAAAAAGGCTTATAGTTTGAGATTATTTTGCCTCCAGAGTTAATATCAGATATATTACTCACCCAGGTTGAACTACAGCTAATTAGATTCCATCATGCATTCCATTATTGTTTTATAACTGTAGTGCTATTTATATGCAGCAGAAAGTTGGCACAGAAATATGCACTCTCTCCCTCTCTGCACCTTTGATTGTTTAAGCGACACTTTCGCCTGCTTTTAGTACTTTTTTAAAGGAGAGAAAGAAAGAACTTAAAATTTTGTGGTTCCTGAATTAGAGCTGGTAACTCTGCACTCAATCCCAGCCTCTTGTTGGTATTATTGATGACTCTCAGCTCCTGCTGCTCTGAGGAGCAGGAGTTTAAGGAGTATCCACTCAGATTCTCAAACCACAGTGTTTTTGTTTTGCTTTTCCTTTAAGATCCTGACACCGGCTAAGGAAAGCACAAAATCTACTTTTGGTTTCCTGACTAACTGGTAGAAGGCCGCCAGCTGCTATGGGAATGCATTTATTCACCTTCACCTTGTCCAGAACCTGAGCGATAAGATTATAGGGGAAATCTAGTTTATACGCAACTCTCTTTATCTCCACGAAGTATGACTTGATTTTAGACACTTCGCTGCTCCTCTCTCTCCGGGACTAATAATTCTACTCTTTCTTTTAAAATTGCAATTCATTTTTTATTCTCTTTTTAACCAGATCCTAACTTAACCGTAGCAATTTATCCAACCTTAACACTGTTATTATCAACGCCAGGATTCTGCTCTATGGAATATCAGCACTGCAATCCTGTCCATGATTACTCCTAAGTAAGCCTCTTTTTGAGTTCAACCGAGACTGAAGTTAAATGCACCTAGGATCATAGCCCTGAGGGCTCACCAAAGAGTGTTTTGGGGGACTGAATAAACAAGCTAATCAGATCATATTAATATGGGAGGCAAATTACTATCTCAAGACTTCTCCACCTCTCTTATTCTCTCTCCTCTTGGCAATGAAATATTTTTTTCCCAAAACTTTAGCCTTAGGCACAAGAAAGTGGCCCACATTAAAACAGGGTTTACTTCTGAGAAAATGGGCACGCCATAGGGATGTGAAGGAGCCAGCCTGCCTGTTTTCTCCTACCCCAAAGGCAAATCAACGCAGCAACGGCACAACAACAACACAACCCTCCATACAAACACGCACCCAAACTCTCCCCTGTTTCTTTGGTGGCTTTCCGTGTTTGATCACCCCTGGCCGTCCTGCGGTCTTCTTGAGAAAGAGACATTTTGCCATGTATCCCCAGGAAATTAGCATACAGTTTTGTAAGGCATATTAAAAGCCGCCGAATCCACGTGTAAGGCCTTAAGTTTCTCGACCTGCTCTTGGAAGATCCGTATGTGGTCCATAAAAGCTACGACGCGGTCGGCGGACATGGGCGAGGCGTGGAGGCCGGCGGCGGCCAGCAGCGGGGCGACGTGGAGGGGCATGGAGCACTGGGCCGCGTTGAGGACAAACAATTCGCTCCAGGTTAGCCTCAGCAGGGCCACCTGGTCAGTGATCTGGAGGTCGGGGAAAAAGGGGATATTCCGGGCCCACTCGACGGCGCTGAAAAGCATGCGGGCGGCCAACTCGCAAATGTTCTCGATGCCCATAATGTTGTTCGGTTGCATGCACTGGCTGCCGAAGCGGGAGGTCGGGTAAGGCTCTGCCCTCAGCAACAGCGAGATATATCCCGAGAGATAGGAATGGCAGTTCAAGGGGTCTCCGTTGGTTAAGGCGAACTGGCCGTGCGTCGGCTGTGTGGGTGGCATTCTGCCCCTCTGGACGGCTGCAGTAAATAAGGAAGAAACTACAGCAATTAATACCTGCATTGCGAAGGGAGGCGATCGCTGGGGCTGGGGGAGGGCAGGGTTGGAGGGGGGGGCTCTAGCAGGTCTCCCTTGCCCCTGCCTGGCCTGCTGGCACAGTCAGGAGAGGGGCTTTGGCTGAGTGGCCCAAGCAGCAAACCAAGCCTGAGGATGCCGAG